TGTAACGAAACTATTCACACCTATTTAACACTTAATTACATAATGCAGAACAGATAAAATATGGTGGTGAATCTCAAAGGGTTATAATTTTTTGTTACTACATTTAAAGTTTTTCACAAAACATAAAAAAAATATAATAATACTTAAGAACGTTAAAAACTATCATATGTTAATTATAACATTTTTTATGATACAAAGAAGTAACATTGTTTCTCAAATTTAAACTATGGCCCAACAAAATAAATTAACCCTGCACTGCATTTTTTTTTACCAGCTTAGATAATATAAACTACATTGTATGAGACAAAAATGTTAGTAAAAATAATTTTAAAAACATTTTTTGATCAGATATTATTAATTCAAGTATGAAATGTTATTACAAATTTATTGTAAAATATCATGCATTTTTATGATGATATAACTGTCAGTGAATGTATTTAATCGATTTTTAATTTTCCAAATTAACCATCAATTGCGTTTTGAGACTTTGCCCGTCGTGTACCATTAAATGAATAAACAAATGCATTTTTTTAACATATCATATAAATTATATATTTGGTTAGAAAACGCTTAATTTAAAACGAATTTAAAATATTTATAATTTTCACCACATCAGTTTGAACACGACATCTAAAAGTTTTCAAATTAAATTAACAATTAAATACCTTAGGTTAAACAAGAAAAACATTGTTGTTATTCTCGGAGGTTTAGTTAATTGTTTCTGTTTACCTTCAAAAACCATAGCAAACTTGTAACAATATTTAACAACTTATGGATAGTTACAACTAACAAACTGTATTCTTATATGCTACAAACACCATTTGTCTTTTACATTTATGTTACACCAAAACTAAATAAATTAACCTTACCCAACATAATTTTTAACCCCACATAGTATTAGACTAAAATTGTTGAAAAACAAAAAACTAATCAATCAGAAAATTTGAATTTAAATACACAACAATGACATTGGCCATATTATTATTTTATTATTAGAAAAAATTGTTTAGCACTGGTTAGGTATATTTGATTAAATTCTCTGAAGTCAATTATGTCTCTTTTAAATACTTCTTACGTTTTCTGAGTAAAACACACATAAATATTTTAGTTAGTAGTGGAGGACATATACTTTCAACCAACTGACTTATTTTCACCTAAAACAATTTTAATTATAAATTAATATTAAAATATGTTATAATGTGATATAATTTTTAAATAAAATAAAAATGGATTCTAATTATTTTAGGTTTGAATCAATATTTTGAGCGCCCAGGAGTTTATGTTTTTAAAATCAACCTATGTACGCATATATTGCATGTATGTGCAAAAAGCTAAAGAAGTCCCTATTACACGATAAGATGTACATGAGAGCATTTATCATGTACATTATAAATACAAAAAAAAAATCGTTTGATTTAATTGAATAATACGTATTTAAAAATTATAAAAAATAAAATAAATCTTTTTTTTTCACTACAAATAAAACTACTTGCATAAAAACAATAACTTTTTTTCATCTTTTTCAACTAATAATACATATTGAAACTATGTTTCTTTTTTTCAAAAAAACATTGTTTCATATTTCCATTATTTTATTTGTAGTTAGATTTAGATTTTAACTACACATCATTAAAAAAAACAAAAATATGTATGATCATTTTTTTAATTTAAATTCTTTTGAAATGTAAGTAGTAGCTCAACAATTTTCCATGCCAATCAGTAAAACATAGATATTCATGAACTTCCATACCGGTCTTAAATTTTCACTTTATAATTAATGGTTTACATTTTTTGCACCCATTCAATTAAAGTCCAAATAAGATGATCTGGCCAAAGAAATGTTTAAATATTCGAGCTACATTACATATTGTTTTTATTCATTACATTATAATTTATATTATACGTACCATAAACCAGTGTGGAGGATATCCTGTAGTGATACTTTTAATTCCGGTAGTCTGTAGCGCATAATTGACATAAGTTTCAGGACTAGTAACCAAGAAAGGAATTTTCATGAATTTGACGAATTTGGTTTTAACCAAACATGGTGTAACACACTGGACAGTTATACCATCTTTGTTGTACTCCGAAGCCAAGTCCTTGCTGAACTTATAAACGAATGCCTTTGGTGTAAACATATAAATTTTATTTTAAAAATAACATTTCAAGTACGGGTTATTGTTTACATTGCCTAGAAATATTTTAATAAGTAATTTAGTCTTACTTTAGAAGCTCCGTAAACCGTGAGTAACGGAGTCGATGTAACTGATGATGCTGATGACACGTTTATGATGACACCCCGACGGCGCTTGACCATGCCAGGCAAGACTGTCCTACACATGTTTACCACCGATACGATATTGCATTTTATGATATTGTCGTACAATGGATTTTTTTTGTCAATTTCTAAGAAAAAAATGGGAAATTCATTCATCATTCCAACGTTATTAACCAACACGCCAACATCCAAGTCGCGTAGTTCTTTTTCAATACGATCATATAAGTCAGAATTATTGTCTATGAAATCGGCTTCGATGATTTTTGTGTTCACGCTGTACTTATTTCCTGAAATTCAAGCATTTTATTAATCAAATATTAGTAACGGCGAAAAAACAAATAAATTCGGTTGTCTATCATAAAATTAAATAGAGCAATTAAATCTTCGCCTTACAATCTCAACTACATTTGGTTGGCCACCCTAGTTTTACTCCTCCATAGATCTCGATATTTTACCTCTTGACCAATCACCCCATCTATTCTAATATTACTCAATTGCGTCCATCCATCTTTTCTTCGGTCTTTCTTTTTTTCCCTCTACATTTTCATCTACATAACACCTTTCGCTGCCTCTGCTACATCTCTTCCCATAACATAACCAACCATCTCAATCTATTCTCTCTCATTTTACCCACAATTTGTGCAACTCTTAGACTCCCTCTTATGTATTCATTTCTGATTTTATCCTTTCTAGGCACTCCACTCATCCATCTTAACACTCTCATCTCCACTGTACTCATTCTCTGTTCAGTTTTCTGTCTACTGCCCAACATTCCGGCCAAGATAACATTGATGGACCGCCCTATGAAATTTACCTTTTAATCTTATAGACATCCTCCTGTCACACAAAATTAACTAGATCACATTAAATCGTGTACCGTAGAACTATAGATTATAAATAGTTCTTGATTGTCATACTGGACTATTGAATCTCCATAAGTGGTTCAATAAATAATCTTGCTTTTGACAATAGTAAATAATTATAACTTAATAAACCGCCAAATAATACAATCTACAACTTAGACATGTTATCAAGCTTGTACAAGGTATTTTGACACATTTGTGTTATGTTGTCTTAATACTATACATTTAATTAAATATTCCCATCCGTCTTGGTTGTAACTATACTTACTTATATCACTGGCCGTGCTCTCTAATCTGGACCTAGTTCTGCTGATAAGTACGACATCCATACCCTTACTGGCCAACTACAAATTATGAGTGAAAATATTTTAAATTATTTTATATTTATTTAATATTTGTTTCTTTAAATACTAAACAAATGTCAATACGTGTATCTAATGAGTTGCTTTCAAAATAGTAAATTATTATTATAATTTATTTTTAACAAATTTAGCTGTTCGCATACCTGTTCTGCGTATTGTTTTCCAATTCCATCGGTAGAGCCCGTTATAACTATAACAAATAATGCATATTACTTGATTTTGATTTCACTGCGCTAACTTTTTAATGTTTACACTTTAATATACTAAATACCAACTAACTTAGTTCTATTTGGCTGACTTAATTATCTATAGTTTGATTAAAGTTCATGAAGCATGATATTCTCTCCAAATGGAAAAAGTTAAACGAAGACTAAAATACAAATGTAGACAATTTCAATAATATGTAAAACATATTTTTAAATTTAGCACACATTAAAATAGTATGAAACCTGTCCAGTATTAAATATAATATAATAACAAAAAGGGCAACAACTTATGAAAAAAACTCTATTCCTATTTTCAACTTATAACGAAGTACTACCTTGACAACCGATGGATAAAAGAAAGTAAATTACTTATTTATTTATATATTATAATTAAATCCTATTAAAATATGACATTACCTGCCTATTGCCCTGTTTTCGTAAAATCAATATTTAAATGCAAGATCGGCGCAATAATTCTTGGTATATGAATATCACTATAAATCTTGTTATTATAAAAAATAATATACAATAGAAGAAGTTTGTTACAAATTCCATGTTGTTCGTTGCTTGATTGACTCAATATTATTAACATCTAGTTGGTTTAAATCTATTGGAATATAAATTTTATTTTAATGTATACTGCTACACATAGATTAAAATTTACTAATATAATTATATCTAGTGAAGAATAATTGCAAGGTTATAAGATACCTTTCTAACGTTATTATATTAAAATAATTATTAGTGCAGATAATTATGCGAATTTATATGTTTTTTACTTTGTGTAGAATTTACAATAGTGGATTATAAGCCAACTAATTAAAAAAATGTAGTCATGTTGTGTCACTGAATTAGTAATTAAAAATTAGCTTTGTGAATTTTAAAACCGGTAATTCGGATTTTTCACTGCGCTAACTTTTTAACGTTTCTACTTTATTATACTACAGAGGTGATATTGAGCCATTTAAATAAAGTCTAAAAACGAAAAAAAAAACCTTTTCCCTTCCCAAAGATGGAAACTTTTTCTGTATTCTCTGAATCACTAGAACTTACGGTTTGAAAAATTAGACTGAATGTAGATATAGAGTTAGCTCTATTCTATCATGTGTATTTTTTTTGTTTTAAGCCACCTACCTACCCTTTTGGTTCTCATCACTTTACACTAAACGCTATGAGTTTGAAACATAAATTAAAATAATTCTATTACAACTGATGGTGAGCCATTTATCTTTTAAGAAAACGAAACAATTTTTTTTTTTAAAAACACAATCAAAATATTTAATTTTATCTAAAAAGACAGCAAACTTCTCAGTGAAAAGAGGATTCTCCGGTTTAATTTCGGCTATTTGACATGATTATGAAGCTAAACTATTCTTAAGATCATCAAATTTATTAGTCAGAGCAGTAGCAAAACGAATATTTGTTATAAAGTATTTCATTTTGTTTTGACTGTATAATAAGGCAATGGCATGCATTATGTCTTTATAGGACAATTTCACCTAAGAAGGTACCGAAAAGGATTTTGGGTTAACGGCCTAATGTAATAGACTTTAAAGGCGTGTCTCCTTTCAGTTTTGACATTTTTGGCGCAGTGTAACTCAAAACACCTCGCAGTTTGCAGATGCAACCGAAAACATAGCGTAGATGTTAGTGGTGGCTCCTTAAAGTTAAAAGGAGCAACCAAAACAGCAATGGAGTAGAAGACAAAGTCGTGGCAAAAACAGAGGTAGTGATGATACTTGAGCTTATGACGTCAGAGATAGTTTGATAATCTGAGGGGTCTCACCACCATATGATAATTACATAATTTTTTTTCTTTTAAAACAGGTTTTACAGACAAATCCAAACATTTGGACTTTATACCACACGGTTATTCAACAATAAATCATTCCATAACACACCATTCTTCCGTAAACCAAGTACGTTGTGATTGGAGTCTTAATATTTTAAAATTAAAACCCCTTCTCCACTTCAACCCTTTATATACTTACCAAACAGCGATAACGTCCAACGGAAGAATGCACACATATTAGTACTTAAATACATAATGCAAATCAGATCAAATATAGTGGTGGGTTTAGAAGATAAAAATAATTTAACCTAACCAATCATGTATTGTTCTGCTAATATAAATAACAATAAACTATAGCTAATCGACTCCCATTTTCTTAAATAATCCATTACTTTGTATTCATATTTTTTAAATAACTGTATTATTTTAAAAGACTGTGTCAAATATTAAGCGAGTTGAGTATATCTGAGACAAAAATAGATTTTGACGTGAAACTTCCCAAGGAGGGCATGCAAATAAGACCCATCTTCTGAACACAAAAGTTAAAATATACTCTTTTAATTTTTAGATATAATTCCTATTTATCATAAATATTTATTTTCATAACAGCTTTATGCTCTTAATATTACAAACCAAACAAAACAATTATTTATTAGATGATGAAAAGACAATTGATGTAAAACGATGCATTACGTTTTTGATCATGTGCCAAAACAGTTTGGAGAAAACCAAAATAAAGTTGGATCTATTTTTGTCTCGGGTATACCCAACTCGCTTTAAATTTGACTGATAGTGCTCGGTGTTCGGAGCATTAAAATTTTAGATTCTATTGCTTGTGAAGTGATATTTTACACGCAATTTTCAAGCTTTGTAAAGTGTACGATTCAATTTAAAAAAAACTTTTATCGCACAACAACACTCTAACCTAAGAAAGGTATAAGACTACACTTTTTCTTCAATGACATTCAGCTTTTTAGAAGTTTTATCGACAAATAAACAATGTACAAGGTTGTTTGGTTTTTTTCGCAAGAGACAAAATTAATATTCTATTATGTTAATGACAATTATTATTATAGCATTGTCCTTATTTTCGCAAGTGTGTGTATTTTCATGTCCTATGGTAAAAAGTAATGTTAAATAGTGATACTGATAAATAATATAAGCATGCCTGATGCCTTCTTAGCTTAATATTCTGTTTTAAGCTGTACTGACATTTTTAATCGTCCATTGAAAGATTAATTTTTCCTGATTTTACTTATCTGAACAGTGTGAAATTAGTTCTATAATAGTTTTTAGTAAAAGTTATAACTAATTGAAACTTTAAAGGTCTAATAATTTTGAGAGTGGTAAAATCAGTAAATATTATACCTTTCTATGGACAATTAAAAATGCCAGTACAGCATGAATAGGAATACGATAAAGGAATAAAGTTTTAAATGTTTTTTTTTTTAAATGATTACTCATTTATTAATATATAATTAAATACTTTTTCAATTCAACATTACCTACCTCTATTCCTATTAAATTATCTTCCTATATTCGGTTAGGTCATTCGTCATATGTATTCACTGTTATTGAACATTATAATCACTACATATAACGACAACAATAGGACTTCCATATGTGGTCTACGATCGACGCTCGTATTTCATAAAATAATAAAATAATAAAATAAAATATACATAAGTATAATTCATCATTAGACTTATCACGTTCCTTATACCGTTGTACGTATCTTCGTTTTTAAATTCAACTGTAATCACAAAGTGTGCCATACCATTTAGACCTCATAAAACTTGAAAACAAATTCCAATAATTTAGGACTTTAAAATTAGGGTGTCTCATTTCTTTTAGGTTTAACGTTCGTTATTACCACCGGCCGGGTTAAGACGGCTTAGAATTTAGAAATATTTAATATTATTTACATTTTACGTTAATTTTGGTTAAGTTTACATCCAGTAAGGTCTTCATGAATCAATTGAAAGTTCATTTGAAAAATATAATATACAAAATGTTATACTATACATTTGTTTTTTATTTTACAGTTACTTCTTCAGTATATATTGAACTTCGAGGCCAATCTGAAAAGGTATTATTTTAGAATGAAAAATTCCCTATCCGATTTACTCGATTGGTCCCTCTATATATCATAAACAAATTACCTAGTTAACAATAAAAAAAAATCACACCCATGCACTTGAAATCGGGCAAAATGAAACATCAATTTAACGCTTTTACAATTTTTAATATTGATCAGAAAACAATTATTTTTTTATGATCTAGAAAAATTATAATATAAACAATAAATTATTCTGCAGAATATTAAAAAATATATTATGCTATTTTTCTACTAAAAAATCTGCGTTGGTAAAATAATTTATTTTTTATAAAAAGCGGTATTGTTTTAAAAATATTTTTTCATATGTATATTATTATATTTTAAAATCTCGTATTCCACCATAGCAATAATAGGTTTGTAATAACTGAGGTATGTTATATTTATATGTTTGTGACTAAATTTTATTAAATTATCTGGAAAAAACAGCATCAATGGTTGTACCCTACATTGTTGTGGATTGTGTAGGATCACTGTTCATAGACAAATTGAATGTTTGGAAAAGAAATGGTTTAAGTGGCTCGGATTTTTTATTTGCAAAAATGATTTTAAAGTCACCAGCCAAAAGTTTCCATTCGATTTGGCTTAATTATTGGTTAATTATGATTACATTTAATCATTCCAACACCCTTTTTAATATGCTTATTTAGTGTTTTACTAGTTTAAAAGTAATTTTATCACTTTCGGTTTTAATAATTCTCATATACCTGTAACATCCCCGTCCCCACTATCACTATGCCCTAAGTAGTAACATGGTTTCTAAAGTTTGAATTACAACCCAAATAAATAACTTAACCCTACACTCCATGTTTTTTATTTACACCACATGATAACAGACAACATTCCAAGATAAATAGTAAAAAAGTTGACGTGCTAATTTTTTTTCTATTGAATATTAAATTAAACTCATTTGCGCTTTAAAAAAAACACGGTTTTTACTGCTCTTGACTGTCTTTACTTATAAAATAGTTTTTAATTGCATTTTTTAAATAAGGTATGCTTTCCCTAGGTTATCATTATACAAAAATTAACAAAATGAATAATAAATAAAGAATGTCGGGTAGGTTACACAAAGACGAATAAGGCAATTTTAGCCACATTATTGTCTTTACATTGATTTGTATATATATATGCAGTAACCTGCAGTGACCTAATTATGCGGGCTTCATTTCATATAATGCAAAATATTGAATATTTAAAAAGTAATTTTTTTTTTCGAAAAACGTGTAATGACCTTGTTAAGTATTCAACAAATTACATGAACGTAAATGTAATACCTTTTGGAAATTTAATATAATTTATTTGATCTTAATAGCCGCTGGAGTGCGTATGGCACGAGAGTATAAATGTTAAAAATAATCAGAAATCAAAATAGTCAATTGTGTATAATTGCTAAAAGTTGATTATTCAACTTTTGAACTTCAAGTTTCCATCTTACGGAAAATTTAATTAATTGAAATGATTTCGTTTTAGCAGGTAAAGTATTATTAATTCAACGCTATAAAAATATTAAATAGTAGCTTAAAGCATATATATTAAAAAATTATATTTTAATTAAAATACGAGTTTCCCATAGCTTATGAACGTAATTATTAATTACAACGATATTCTTTTGTATACTTCATACTATTTATTTGTTCTAAATACTAGTAAGAGTGCGCGTGAGATTATACATTTTAGAATAATGAAAAACCTAGTTAGTCGTTCTGTATAGTTTCTAAAAGTTGGTTGTAGTATTAGTATTTCAAGTATTCGTCCTGTAGAAAATTCAATTAAACGAAATGGTTTCGTTTTGGCAGGTAAAAATAATTTTAATGTTCTTAGTAATTTACTAAAAACCTAATAGTTAAACATTTTAGCTTCAATACTTAGTTGCAAAGGTATTGTTTTCAGATTAATGTTTTTATTTTTTTGTATGCTCCATGGTGTTTCTTAAGTTGCTTACTTTGGATAGTGTAAGATAAATTAATTATTATTTGGTTCCACACACCCTTTCTACATTTAATTACATATTTTCGCCTTAAAAACTAGTTTAAGTTCTACTAGGCAATATTAATTGTCATTAACCTAACTTAACCTTACTCTTAGAAATTACTAAAAATAATTTTTATCATCATTAAATCATTTTCACTTTTGTATATAACATAAATATCACATTTTTTTAAACAACATATTTTGATAACCATAAGACATGTATATCAAAACCCAATAAGTGTTTTACTCTTTTGGATTTAGGCCTGTTTTTTTGGTAAAAACGTACTTACCAATTTTTTAATACTAAATAATAATTAATATTATAGGTCTCGTATCTTCGGAAATTCGTTATAATTGTAATCAATTAAATCAATTAATAAATAATTTAATTGACAATGAATGGGCTGATAATCGGATAATTTTATTTTTGTTCTAAAGAATGGTCAAGATACGTATTTTATGAACTTTTCTACTTGGGATTAATGAATTAAAAATTTGAAGTGGTCGATTGGGAAATGGGAAATTTGTAAATGTATACATAGTATGTAAAAATGATTTAATATTAAAAAAAAAATACTTTTTTAGTAGTTTAATACATAAGCATAATTTGGAGAGGCTAGGGGAATAAGATTAGGCTAATTGATGTAGATAAAATCTTAAAACTTTGTCATATATACTAAGCCTCTTTTTTTTGCCAAAATGTATTATGACCGTAATAGGTCATAACTTCCAAATATTTTAATGAACAATAAGTAATATTAATAATGTAGTTGATGAATTAGTCACTTTGCCTGGCTTTCAAAATCCATCTTCAACTTCGTCTATTCTTGGAATAGAGTCAATATTTTAAACTATATATTAGTACATATTGATTATTCATACACAAATGTATACATTTGATACTTTCATAAAGATGACCTACTTTTTCCAACAATGTTATGAGTATATTCTTTATAGAACTAGATTATATTTAACAAAAATAAGAATTTATAGACACAATATTTTCAGGTGTTTGGCACAATAAATAATGATAAAAGCCTAAATAACATTATTGCTATAATTATAGCGGTAATATTGTTTTTGGTAGTTCTATATTATAAAATAGTAAACCGGAGAAAGACGTCATTGGCAAATCGAATACCCGGTCCAGATGGATTCTTTTTCTTGGGAATGTTACCAGTTTTACTTGGAGGACCTAAAAAAGTAATGATGAATATTTTCCAAATTTCCAGAAAGTAATTACGCTCTATTCTCGTCTATTTATTACATTGTATTATCTTTTTCGATATTCTGAATGTCTTGTAATAATAATTTGTTCGTTGTCTTTGTAATATAGTTACGAAAATACTTTATTCAAATCATGGGTTATTAATCAATTGTACATATTTTCTAAAACACCTGAGGTTGTAGAAGCAGTTCTTACCAATCCTAATCTGTTTAACAAATTTAGAGAATATAATGTGTTTAGCGAATCATTTATGGGCAATGGATTATTTTTAAACAAGAAGTTTCATGAATGGAAAAAGAACAGGTAAACTTTTCCGAGTTATTTTATATTTTTTTTTCATTATAATTATAATAAAAACAATATAGCGTCAATATGTATAACACATTCTAAAATTTAATGTAAACTATTAATACTTGAATTTTAAATTTTAGGAATTCAGTTTCTTGCAAATAATTATAATATTTCCTTCAAATTTTCTTAACATCAAATATAATTTTAATTTGTTATTAAAATGTATAGAAAAATGGTAGCGGCGGGGTTTAAATTTTCGAGGCTTAAATTGTTCGTACCAAATAAAATGTCTAGATAAAATGTGATAATAATCGGTCAAAAAAAGTGCAAAAAAATAAGGCCGGGGATTGAACTTAATTTTTTATTTATGTTGTTTATCGTGAATAGAGAACACGATTATTAATTTGATCCATTGCCATAATTTCAATTCAAAATTACATTTCAAAACAAAATTGACAATAAAATATTTAAACAACATATACCTGTGACATATTAAAGCATTATGACGCCATTATCATTAAATAATTTCAAAAATCAAAATTATAGCGAGAGAGATTTTTTTGAGTATAATTTGATTTTAGCGGGTTAAGACACGACAGCTACAACGAACGCGTGTGCAATATTTATGTTGGCTCCCCTTTAAGATGTACAAATCAAAGTAAACTATATATTGTATTTCGTTTTATGAATTTTAAAATAAAATATTATAAATATTCGTAGTAGTTATAAATTTTTTATTTCATCTTATAAATAGGTATTGGAAGAGTTATTAACAATGTTTTCTTCTGGCGATCCTTATCGACAACCTACCTATGAGGATTTACAAAAGATGCAATACTTGGAACGTGCAATCAAAGAAACTCTGAGACTACATACCGGTACTCCCGTGTTTGCCAGGAAAGTCGAAAAGGAAACAATGATTGGAGGCTATTTAATCCCTGAAGGTACGGCCGTAGACAAATTCGTTTGATAGATTGCCACACATGGTGCTTGAAATTACTAAATTAGTTAAAAAAAAAAATATCTACAGGAACAACGGGTGTTACGTTAAAATAGAAGCGAGAACGTAATCAATTATTGCAGCAGGGTTTTGGACACGAATTATTTACATACTTGGATATGGTTATTTGATTAGTTATATAATCATATGGGTTAAGGTTTTCGTTCTTTTTATAGGTTTTAGGTACATCGGATTTGGTTAACTAAAAAAAGAACTTTACCTTAAAGCATGTGCCAATTTGTTGGTGTTGTCTAGGCTTTTAAATATTTTCTATAAATTATTTAAGCGGCGGTCTATATAAATCTTTTCCTCCATTATTTAGATATCGTTTATCTGTTAGTTGGTATTTTGTGAAAAATTGTAGTAGAGAAAACTGGTTAATCTTAACTTACCATTAATTAATCAATTTGGTCAAATTCGTTACAATTTCAGCAGACATTTATTAAATATTTTAATTATCACTTATAATAAACTTTTATTCAAACAGAGACCTTTGGCTAACGGAAGTTTTCAAATTAATTTAACAATTAAATACCTTATGTTAAGTATGAAAAACATTGTTGTTATTCTCAGAGGCTTAGTTATTTGTTTCTGTATTAAAAACCATAGCAAACTTGTAACAATATTTAACAACTTAAGGATAGTTACTACTAACAAACTGTATTCTCATATTCTACAAACACCATTTGTCTTTTACATTTATATTACACCAAAACTAAATAAATTAACCTTAAACAACATAATTTTTAACGCCACCTAGTATTAGACTAAAATTTTTAAAAAACAAATACTTTTCAACCAAAAAATTTGAATTTAAATACACAGCAATGACATTTGCCATATTACAATTTCATTATTAGAAAATATTCACACATATCTCTGGTTAGATATTTCTGGTTAAATGATTTGCAGTCAATTATGTTTCTTTTAAATACTTCTTACGTTCTCTCATATAAAAATACATTTGTATTTTAATTTGTAGTGGACCACATATACTTTCACCCAACTGACACATTTTCACCTAAAACAATTTAATTATAAATTAATATTAAAATATGTTATAATGTGATATAATTTTTAAATAAAATAACAATGGATTCTAAATATTTTAGGTTTCAGTCACTATTTTTAGCGCCCAGATGCTTATGTTTTTAAAATCAACCTATGTACGCATATATTGCATGTATGTGCAATAAACTAAAGAAGACACGTACGTAAAGATGACCCTATTACACGATAAGATAATGTTTTCATGTACATTATAAATACAAAAAAAAATTTGTTTATTTAATTGAATAATACGTATATAAAAATTATAAAAAATAAAATAAATCTCAATCACAAAAAAACTACTCGCATAAAAATAATAACTTTTGTTCATCATTTTCAACTAATAATACGTATTGAAACTATATGTTTCTTTTTTTTCCAAAAAAAATTGTTTTATAATTCCATTATCTAATTAGTAGTCATATTTAGATTTTAACTACACACCATTTAAAAAAACAAAAATATGTATGATCATTTTTTAAATTTAAATTCTTTTTAAATGTAAGTAGTAGCTTAACCATTTTCCATTCCTATCAGTAAAACTTAGATATTCATGAACTGGTCTTTAACTTTCGCTTTATAATTAATGGTTTACAATTTTTGCACCCATTCGATTAAAGTGCAAATAAGATGATCTGGCCGAAGAAAGGTTTGAATCTTCGAGCTACATTACTTAATGTTTTTATTAATTACATTATTATTAATATTATACGTACCAAAAACCAGTGTGGAGGATATCCTATAGTGATACTTTTAATTCCGGTAGTCTTTAGCGCATAATTGACATAAGTTTCAGGACTAGCAACCATTAATGGATCTTTCATGAATTTGAGTAATTTGGTTTTAACCAAACATGGTGTAACACACTGGACAGTAATACCATCTTTGTTGTACTCCGAAGCCAAGTCTTTGCTGAACTTAGTAACGAATGCCTTTGGTGTAAACATTTAAATTTAATTTTAAAAATAACATTTCCTGTAAGGATTATCGTTTATATTGCCTAGGAATATTTTAATAAGTAATTTAGTCTTACTTTCGAAGCTCCGTAAACCGTGAATAACGGAAACGATACAAGTGATGATGCTGATGACACGTTTATGATGACACCCCGACGACGCTTGACCATGCCAGGCAAGACTGTCCTACACATGTTTACCACCGATACGATATTGCATTTTATAATGTTGTCGTACAATGGATCTTTTTTGTCAATTTCTAAGAAAAAAATGGGATATTCATTCATCATTCCAACGTTATTGACTAATACGCCAATATCCAAGTCGCGTAGTTCTTTTTCAATACGATCATATAAGTCAGAATTATTGTCTATGAAATCGGCTTCGATGATTTTTGTGTTCACTCTGTACTTATTTCCTGAAATTCAAGAATTTTACACACATTAATCAAACAGCAGTAACGGGGGAAAAACAAATAAACTCGGTTGTCTATCATAAAATACACTAGACCAATTTTTCTTCTTCGTTCTTCTTTAACTTCGCCTTACAATCTCAACTACATTTGGTCGACCACCCTAGTTTTACACCTCCAAAGTTCCAACAGTTTTACTGGACTTTTGAATCTCTGTAGGTGGTTCAATGGAAAAAATGTTGCTTTTGACAATAGTAAATAATTATAACTTAATAAACAGCCAAATATTACAAACTACACCGTAGACACGTTATCAAGCTTGTATAAAATATTTTGACACTCTTGTGCTCTTGTGTTTTGTCTAAATACTATAAATTTAATTTAATTTTTATACTTACTTATATCACTGGCCGTGCTCTCTAATTTGGATCTAGTTCTGCTGATAAGTACCACATCCATACCCTTACTGGCCAACTACAAAATATGAGTAAAAATATCTTAATTATTTTATAATTACTAAAATACTAAAAAATCTCAGTACGAGTATCAAATGAGTTTTGTTCAAAAACAAAAAATGACTGTTATTATGGTTTTTAAGTAAACTTTAGTGTTCGCATACTTGTTCTGCGTATTGTTTTCCAATTCCTTCGGTAGAGCCCGTTATAACTATAACAAATAATGCATATTAATTGTTTTTGATTTCACCGCGCTATTTTTTTAATGTTTCTACTTTAATATTCTACATATTGGCTAACTTAGTTCTATTCGGCTGATACAATTATCTGTAGTTAATATTCTCTCCAAATGGAAAAAGTTAAATGAAGACTAAAATACAAATGTAGACAATTTAAATAATATATAAAACATATTTTTAAATTTAGCACACATTAAAATAGTATGAAACCTGTCCAAGTATTAAATATAATATAATAACAAAAAGGGCAACAACTTATAAAAAAACTCTATTCCTATTTTTAACTTATAACGAAGTACTACCTTGACAACCGACGGATAAAAGAAAGTAAATTATTTATTTATTTATATATTATAATTAAATCCTATTAAAATATGACATTACCTGCCCATTGCCCTGTTTTCGTAAAATCAATATTTAAATGCAAGATCGGCGCAATAATTTCTTGGTATATAAATATCACTATAAATCTTGTTATTTTAAAAATTAATACACAATAGAAGAAGTTTGTTACAAATTCCATGTTGTTCGTTACTCGATTAACTCAAACTTATTACTAAAACTTAGTTGATTTAAATTTCTTCAATTATAAATATTTAATAATGTATACTGTTGCACAGAAATCTTAAAGTTCACCAAAACAATTATAACTAGTGAAGAATATCAGTAAGGTTATGGGATGCCACTCTAACGTTATTATATTAAAATAATAATTAGCGCAGATAATTACGCTGGTTATAATGCAAATGTATGAGTTATTTTATGTTGTGTGGAAATAAAAAAAAAGATATTGTACATTGTGCACATATACATTTATGTGAACAATATGTATATATATGAAGGTATGTATGAAGCTAATTACTATATATATATTATTATTTTCAGCGTAGGCGACCTCCGTAATATCATGAGAAAAATAATTTCAGAAAATTGTATCATGGCTTTATTGTATTTTTTTTTTTTTTTTTTAATACAGAACCAAATTATTGTTTTTTAAAGCCGTATAAACTTGAACCAGTTTTTTTCAACTCGTAGGTTCGCAACTCACCTTCTCCATTCTTCGCGGTCACTCGCTATTTCTTTTGATGCCCTATAGCTTCCAACTCCCGTATCTTTCCTGACTTATCCAATAAATGTATTGCAAGTCCGTCCAGGTGGTCTTTTTCCTTCGATCATGCCCTCTAGTATTGCGCTTTGCAGTTCTTCTAGATGTCTTAACGTGTGTCCCGCCATTTTTTCTTCCTAACCGAGTCTATTCATAAACGTTCCTCGCCGACCATTTCCTGTACAGCTCGGTTACTTTTTTGTTTCGTCCAGCTTATTTTTTGCATGCGTCTCCAGCACCACATCTCGAATGATTGTAATGATTTTATTTAAATTGCATTTATAGTCCATGTTTCACAGCCGCATAGTGCTATACTCAAAACATATGTTTTAATGAGTCCTTTCCTAATGTTAAGGTTCAATTTATTGGTCGTGTTTAATTTGGATTTTTTCCTGAACGCTGATTTTGCCATTCCTATGGTCTTTTGTTTTCTTGTGCCCTTCGGCTCCTTCCCATCTGCTATAATAATAATAACCTAAGTATGGGAATTCGCTTACCTGGTAAAGTTTATGGTTATCTAAATATATATCAGCAATTGTATTTTGTGGTTTTACACATCAGTATCTTTGTCTTTTTTTCATTGATTTTCATTTTAAAGGTTCTAGGCGTCTCTGTTATTTCTTTGATAGCTTTATTATTACTATATCGTCAACAAAACGTATCATAAAGGTAGTTTCGCCTCCGATTTTAATTCCAATTTGTTGTCTTACTAATTTTGTCTTCACTGTTTTAATTATTTTTTCCATGTAACATTTGAATAATGGCGGTGATAGAGTGCATCCTTGACTCACTCCTTTTTTTATCTTTGCATTACATTTCAGCTGTCCGACGTTTGTACAAGGAGGGCAGTATTTGCAGGTCTTTTTGTTCAACTCCTACTTCTTGCAGTGTATGAAACAATATATTCCATTTAACATGACCAAACGCCTTTTCTAAATCTAGGAACGCCGTGTCTGTGAAAGGGGAAAGGGTTTAGGATATTTTTTTGGTTTGTTATTTTAAGTTGAAAAATTTGTGAATTTTTTCGGGTGTTTTTCTCGATTTTGACGGGGATGGGGTGACTTTTTAAAATTTTTTGCCTAATAAAGTACCTTTCAAGTATGATTTTATTAATATATTTTTTTCAATTCAACATTACCTATTTCTATTCCTGTTACATTATCTTCCTCTAATGGGTTAGGACGTTAGGTTATTCATCATATATATTGACTGTTATTGAATATTACAATCACTACATATACATGTGGTTTACGATCAACGCTCGTCTTTCATAAAATAACTAAATAATAAAAATAAAATGATCATAAGTATAATTCATCATTGACTTATCACGTTCCTTATCCTCGTTTTAAAATTCAACTGTAATCACAAAATGTGCCATAACATTTAGACCTCAATAAAACTTGAAAACAAATTCCAATCATTTAGGATTTTAAAATAAGAATGCCTCAATAACGTTCGTTATTCTCACCGCCAAGGGCTTAGGGGCAAATCTGAAAACGTAGAATTTTAGAATGATAAATTAATTGATTTTTTGACACAGTATATTTTTTTGCTTACTGGACATATTTATTCGATTGGTCTCTCTATATATCATAAAAATACTAGCTATTTAATATAAATTTAAAAAAATCACACCTTTGCACACTTGAAATCGAGCAAAATAAAACACCAATTTGACACTTTTCCAATTTTCAATATTGACCTGAAAAAAATGATTTTGTTGTGTTGTGGAAAAATTATAATAAAAAAAAAATTAATTCTGTAGAATATTAAAAAATGTATGCTATTTTTTTACTAAAAAAACTGGGTGGGTAACGGGTGAAAACATTAGAATGTAGGCCTGATCTTCTAAAAGACAAATAAATAGACATAATAGAAGTGGGTTCCTGTTTATTAAAATGGCATATGTTGTTGGGCTGAATACAAAAAATGTTATGTCACTGTTTTGCGAAACGCTTTCACCTTCAGTTTGAGATGAGAGATTTTAGTATTATTCTCTTAAATCAAAAAACATGTAAAATAACTAAATTTTTCATTAAAAATGATCATAACTAGTTAAAAAAACAAATTTAAATAAATAACCACCAAGCTACAATAACGCTTTCACTTTCAGTTTGATATCAGATATGAGAGTTAAGTGATAAGAGATAAATCTCTGAGGACATAAGGGATTGGAGATAAATGATATGAGATATTATATCTATGATTATGTGTTTGGTCGTGGAACGAAAAAAAGAAATAAGTTTTTTATCAAAATAACTATTATAGGTGTAGTCGCAAATTCAGGTGTAATACACTCAAAACATTTTAGTTTTAAATCGGTTGGTAAGACGATAGAAAGAGGTAGAAAAGAATTTTTAAGATTTTTATTGTCATAAGACATATTAGCATATAAGTAGCATCCGAAATATCATTGGTAAGTATTTCATTGAGTTTCGACTGTCATAAGGTAATGGCATGCATTATGTCATTATTCGAAAATTTCACCAAAGAAGAAACCAGTGAAGGATTGGGTTAAATGGCCTAAAGTAAACGACTTAGAAGGCTTGTCGTTTTTCCGTTTTGAAATGTTTAGTGCAGCGAAATGTTTAGAATCTTTATATTTTTCAATATACACAGAGACCATTGTCTAATGGAAGTATTCAAATTAATTTTACACTTAGATACCCGAAGTTAAAGATTCAATTACTTGTTACTATATTTAAAACTCCCCCAAAAAGCCATACCACAATATTTAACAATGTAAGAACATTACAACTCACAAACTATACTCTCATATGCTACATACACTATTTGTTATACATATTTCAAAAAAGTTACATAGTTTTCACATTTATATTAGATCTAAACTAAATAAATTAAACGTACACGACATAACTTACACCACTTAGTATTGGTCTAAGACTTTAGAAAAAAAAAATGTATTTCAACCAGAACATTTGAATTTAAACACCCAATATCATAGGTATATTTATAATAATTAAATATAAAAAGTTTATTAAAAAATTAAACGTAATATTATGCAGTAAAAAATATTAAATAATAGCTTATAGTATATATATTACAACATTAATAATATGCATAATTTATATTTTAACTAAATTACGATTTTCACGTGGATTATGAACGTATATATTAAAAATACCTATTCAAAACTTGATATTATTTCTTTGTTCTGAATACTAGTAGAAATTCGTATGACATTAGATTATACATTTTAGAATAATTATAAACGGAGCCAGTCATTATGTATAATAGATATTGCTATTGCCAGCTGCATTAGTAGTTACCTAACGTTTTAGTTTGCATTGCTAATGAAGTCATTTATATTATAATATGTTTGATATAAAATAAGTAAAAAATTACATACAAGAACATTTTGCAAAATATTGTATGCTTAAAAATTAGTTTTTTCAGTGATTAAGGTGTAATGACCTAATTGAATTACAAAATAAAGAATATCGGGTAAGACGAATAGGTACTACAATTATTTTGACCACATAATTATCTTTACAATGATTTGTATCTATACACGGAGTTATGCTTCGACCTACTAGACCCTAACCCAATTGTTCTGGCTTTATTTTATATAATGCAAAATAGTGAATAATTAAAAATTATTGTTTTCAGTAAAACAGTATAATACAGTTGTTGAATAGTCAGTCGTAGCTACCAGTATTGATATTTAACACATTTAACACCTATTCGAAATTTAGTATTTTTTATTTGTTCTGAACTTAATAATGCAATTCAATGAAATGGTTTCGTCTAGGCAGGTAAGAAAACGTATTAACTAAATATTAAAATTACTACGACTAGGGGCTTAAGTGAAAATAATCCACGTTCATTTTTATTGTTAAATAATACACTATAATAATTACACTATCTTTTTCGGATCACCCTATATTGACAATTATTCAATATCTTAAATTCAAATGTTTCTAATAAAATTCGTAAAAAAAAATCTGTTTTTCTTTTTTTTATCTCTTAAACTGTTTTTCACTGCACTGTCTTTATAATAGAAATAAGAATAATTCGAAAAAACCAACTTATCATAGAGATATACAATAAAGAAAAAAACAATATTTAGTTATTGATATATATTAACATTTTAGCTTCAGTTCAGGGCTGAGTAGGTATGGTTTTTACATTGATGTTTTTAATTATTTTTTCATATTTGTGTCTGCACCCATTTAGGTATCACCTAAATCGCTTAACTTGTATAGTGTTACAATAATAATCGTCATTATCCTAGCCTAACCTAACCCAAAACGTATCTACCTTATTACTCATTTTTTTATGATCATTAAATCATTTTTAGATATGTATATATTATTTCCCAATCGTTCACTAAAAATGTTCCATTGATTATTCGCTAACCGAAGAGTTCATAAAATACATATCGTTACCATTAAATAAAAAAAAAAACAAATTATACGATTACCAACCCATTTTTTTTTTTAAAGTGAAGTATACAATTATTTATACTTCATACGTTTCGCATCGAAGCGTTTGTTTAAAATTATTTTAATTAAATGCAGTTGTAATAATTTCAGAAGAAGCGTGACCTCGTTTCCACTATGTCTCAACCACAATGTGCCAGTCTTTTATTTTACAAATTAACAGTTTACTTTAATGTATTATTTAGTCTTAAAAAGGTTCTTGCCAACAATTACCAAACGGTAGGCCGAAACTTAAAAGCCTAAAACATTTATTGGGTTTTAAAAAGCCAGTTTAATATCGTTCTTCATTGTATATATGGCTGAACAAATGTAAGACTAGTATTTCTAAAGGTTGCTTCCACATTGTAGGTAATGCCAATATTCGCTTTATCTTGTTTACTGTGGTAGACTGCATTGTGTTTCAGCGTGAAAGGTAAGTAATAAGTGATTGGACATCTGGGAGACCCCAAATAAGCCCCCCCCCCCCCGATTTCATTTTTTCAACAATTGAAAGTTTTGACAGTTAAGTAAAAAACTATCGAGATAACATTACACTGTTATTATTATAGCATTAAGAATAATTTGAAAAAAACAACTAAGCACAGAGATATAAAATATAGAATACACAATTATTATTAGCTATTGTGTATTTTGTAAAATTGTAAAATAAAATACTATTAGTTAACCATTTTAGCTTTAATGCAAGGCTGGGAAGGTATTATATCTAAAAATTGGAATAATCTTACCAAATGGTAGCCTAAAATTTAAAAGACTAAAGCACGTATTGGGTTTTAATGGCATACGACTATTAGGTATAATATCTGTTAAAAAATATTACCCACCGATAGGTAAGTCTATTATTGTTTGAGTATTATTTTACTAATAATTATTGTAGATAGAAACTTAAAATTTGGCAAATGGATTATGACCGACTTAGGTCATAATTACCAAATATTCTTAAAAGCAATTGGTCATATTTGAAATGTAATTTATTTACAAGACAATATGCCCTTATTTTTGAAAACCATTTCAACTTCACAATATTATCTTTTGGTTATAGCACTAAATTATTTGTAACGAAAATATTACCATGATAAGTAAAACTACTAATTAATGGACACGGTATTTTCAGGTGTTGGTCATAATAAACGATACAAGCCTAAAAAAAATGGCCTTTGAACCTCATAAAAAGATACGATCTCTCGTTATGCAAGAGTTGAAAAAAATAAAACACTCAAGAGTGAGTTTTACTATCAATATATATATATATAAATATATATATATATAACAATATATTTCAACTTCACCTATCCATGGAAATGAGTCAATATTAGCTATTGTTATTAAAGATGGTCTGATTTTTTTTCAATTATATTATATTTACATATAATTATTTAATTATATCACTAAATTATATTTAACATAAATAATACTTTATGGACACAATATTTTCAGGTGTCATGCATGGTAAAAGATTTAAGCCAAATAAATAGTATCGTTATACTTATAGCGGTAATATTATTTTTAGTAGTCCTATATTTTAAAATAGTAAACCGGAGAAAGACAACATTGGCAAATCGAATACCAGGTCCAGATGGATTATTTTTCTTGGGACTGTTACCTGATTTATTACTTCGAGGACCTAAAAAACTGTGGATAAATTTATTAGAAATTAGCAGAAAGTAATTGTGCTGTATTCACGTCTGTTTAATACATTTTATTATATATTTGTGTTCTTAAAATCTAGTTATTTAAGAGCAACAATAATTTGTCCGTTGTCTTTGTAATACAGATACGAGAATACCTTATTCAAAGGATGGATTTTAAATCACTTATGCATATTTTCTAAAAATCCTGAAGTTGTACAAGCGGTTCTTACCAATCCTAATCTGTTCAAAAAACCTAAAGAATATAATGTGTTAAACGAATCAATTATGGGCGATGGAATATCTTCGAGCAAGATATTTCATGAATGGAAAATGAACAGGTAAACTTTTATATTTGTTTATCATTACAATTATAGAAAAACTTAACAGGAAAACATAGCGTCAATGTGTATAATAAATTGAAAAATGTAATGGAAACTATTAAAACTTAACATTGAAATGCTAGGAATTCAATTTGTATAATCAATTATTATAATGTCACATTTGAAGTTGCCTACTATCAAATATCATATAAATTTGATTTGATACTTATAGAAAATTGGTAGCTTCGGGTTTTAAATTTTCGATGCTTAAATCGTTCGTACCAATATTTTACGAGGAAGCAAAATTCTTAAGCCAGGTGTTGTACGAGAAACAGGAAATCAGTACAAATGAATGTGAAATAAGCTGGGCAATCGGTATGGCGACTTTGGAGATGATCGGAAGAACCGCTTTGGGTGTCAAATTGAATGCACAGAAAAACGCCAAACACGTATTTGTGGAGAATTTACATGTCATACTAAAGGTATATTTTCCATGTCGAATGACGTCAATAATGAATTATCTATATTCCAGGGCATACTTTATAACTCAAAAGTACTTTACCGATGATGTTTTTGAGCTGGCATGTCAGCCTCTTGTAATGGAAGATTTGTTTTAGGTTTGGGAATACCGAATGACACACCCGTGGTTTATGAACAAGAGTCTGTTCCAGTTGTCGGCGTTTAAACGTAAACAAGACATTAGTCAAAGTAAAATTTACAACTTTATTGAAGATTTAGTTAAGAGAATAAATACAGAATTGAAAAATAATAAAAACAGTCGAGGAGAACATAACGAAGGGTGTGTGGGCTTCAAATCTAAATCTTTTATTTTAGATAATGCTCGAGAATGAACATCAGATGACATTTAACCAATTACGGGATGAAATAATTACTGTTATGATTGGTACACATGTTTTTTTAAAAATGTTTTTTGAATAGAATTGGCGGCATGTGTATTTTATTTAATATGTGTACATAGAGAGTTGTAATTTTAGAGTTATATCTTTTAAAAATTGGTTTTAGGAGGTCAGGACACGACACCTATGACGAACGCGTGCTCAACATTTATGTTGGCTCATCATCAGGATGTACAAAATAAAGTAAACTCTAATTCGTATTCAGTTTTATTAATTGAAAAATTACACATTATAGATATTCTTGGTGAGGAAAAAGTGATATATTTTTTATTTCTGCTATTAATAGGTGTTGGAAGAGTTATTGACAATATTTTCTACTGGCGATCCGGATCGACAACCTACCTATGAGGATTTACAAAAGATGCAATACTCGGAACGTGTAATCAAAGAAACTCTGAGACATTTTCCCCTTTTTCCCTTGTTTGGCAGAGACGTTGAAAAAGAAACAATGATTGGAGACTTTTTAATCCCTGCAGGTACGGCCGTAGGCAAATTTGTTTGATAGATTGCCACATTTGGTGCTTGAAATTACTAAGTCAAGTTATTTTAAACAATATCTACAGGGTCAACGTTCGTAATTTTCCCTACTCTGTTACACTTGAATGCGGACATTTACCCGGAACCAGAGAAGTTCAACCCGGACAACTTCTTGCCCGAAGCATGTGAAAGCCGGCATCCGTATTCGTTTGTTCCTTTTAGTGCTGGTTACATGAATTGCCCTGGTATCAAATATGCAATGCTTCAAATGCAAATTGTCATCTCAACACTGGTCCGGTCTTATCGTTTTCATCCGTCGGATAAGTGTTTTAAACCTGAAAATCTTCGTGTAATGTATTCGACGACATTAAAGTTTGTCGACAGGTGTTACGTTAAAACAGATGCCAGAACGTAATCAATTATTGAAGCAAGGTTTCGAACCAGAATTATTCACATTTTTGGATAGGATTATTCGGATATTATGTAATCATATTAATTAGGGTTTCGATATTTTTAAATTTTAGGTATATCGGTTTTGGTTATTATTTTATTATACCAATTTGTTGGTGTTGTCTTTCTTAATATTTTCTATAATCTTTTTAAGCTGTCTAAATACATTTTTCTCGGTTTTTTTAGACATCATTTATGTGTTAGTTTATTATATTCTTTATATCAATGTCTTTGTTTAAAATTGTAGTAATTTTTTGGCCAAAATGATATAGTATTGTGTACTAATATAGTTGATATAAATTACTACTAATAGTATAAAGAATATTTTATGAAAAAGTTAAAATACATAAATGATACATATATCCGTGTAAATTTATAATACACAAATTATTGTATGCACACATTTTTATTATGAACCTCCCCCTAGAGGTGGTGCAAGTTTTTTTGGTTTTTTAGCTATGTGTTCATTCCGCTCTAATAAGAAATAACTATATTATATGATCTAATTTATTTTAATCACATTATTCATAGCAACATCTTATGCTATTGTAATCATTCCAGTTTTTACTCCCTGGCTTTATAATACTTATTCAACCAACGAATAAATGCATTTTTACACAGTCTTATAATAAAAAATTATAGGTATGTTTTTTAAAAGTATCAGCAAAAGTCCCTATATCATCTTTTTAAATTCTTAAAACAGTTGTCTTTAGATTATTTTAGCGTTCAACATTTTGTGTTCTTAGACCGTTTTTATGAGTAGTAATCAAAAATCAAAAAAATTGTCTGAACATTTATTTTTACTAACTATTTAATGTTAATTTTTTATATTATATGTATGTATATATATTTTTTTTTTGAGCTGCTGTTGATATAGCTTGAACTAAATTAGATACTTATTAATATTGATATTTTGGTTTTTTTGTGGTGTGATTTCAGACATAGGGCATTATTAAAACATAAAAATAAAATATTAATTTCAAATCATTTTATTGCATTTTAACATTTTGAAGCATGGTGGTATAAGTAATATACCACTTTTTCAAAAAATAGCCTACTCTCGCACAGTGGTATATATTTATTACCACCTTCATAATCATGTTCAGAGAAAATCAGAGATAAAAATGCTGTGCTTCAAAGGGTTAAAATTTATATTGAAAATCGTCATTTAATTTACTATTTTATTATTTATAGAAGTATAATATAAGTATTCGCTCCACCTTAAAAAAGTATAGTAAATCTATAGATTTTGCTATATTTTTTTAAATTGATACTACATAATGAAAAATAAAATTGTTTTAAAATTTTTGATTATTATCATTTAGTAGGATGAATTGTTGGTTAGCCATCTAAAAATATATCAATATATGGATTTATACCTTTCATGGTTTACTTAAAAAAGTATTAATGTATATATCAATTTATCTATTATGTATAAAATATGTCTGGATAAGTATCAAATAATTTAGGTATTTTATGCACTGAATATTATTATTATTATTATCATTTTGTACTCTGACCGTTTTTATAATCACCGCCGGACACTCGAATAATCAAAAATATTTGCTACAAATTATTTCAGACATTTCATTCATGTTTTGTACTCTTGAGTTCCCAAGTAACCGTGACACAAACATATCATTCTTCCACACTTTTAAACTTCTAATAACCAACAAACGTCAGACCTTAAGTATCAAAGTACCTTTAGCATTAAAGGTCCAGATCCAAAAACTAAAAGATTTGCATCGAGACATTTCATTTAACCTCTCTTTGGACATTTTTATAAGCTCTGCCAAATAGTCGATCAATAATAATGTATTTATCACTCTTCACTTCTTTCCCTTTTAAGTTTTAATATAAACTAGACATTTCATTCATGTGATTTACTCTTGAATTCTTAAACACTTATGAACTTCTGTTAAACCACCAGACCTTTAATATACATGTTTAATGCATTATGCTGTTGGTTACATTCTAAACGTACAGTACGTCATTACCGAATAATGGCATAGACGGTGATTTCTGAACAAATAAGGATTTTAATTCAACCAATATCTAGACATACAACGTATACGTTTGAAAAAGTTTTGTTGCACATAGGAACACCATATCAGACATATACAGACTGACCTCTAAACATTTCTTTCTATTTTTAACCATAGCTATTACCAAGCCCGTGAAGTAAACAACACCTCAAACAATTCAAATTAAAAAAAAAAAAAAAATTGTCCTTTAAGCAAGTAGCACACTCGCTTTAGTAGTAGGACGTTTCTGATCTGACAGATAGCTAGACTTGCACTACAGTTAACCGGTACTTAGCTTGCAAAACACTTTTTCGAAACTAAGTATGAACTATGATTACTAGATAAAGGTACGATGAATTATAACGGTATACTTTAAAACGTAGTGAGCTGACTCGACACCGTGGCCGGGCACCCCCCTCGGAACTGCTGTGTACAGACATATAACATACTACGTTTAAGCAAATTTTGTTTCACAAAGGTAAACCTTAACAGACATTTAGCTGACCGTCCTCTAGACATTTTTATCTGTTTTCAACTCATAAAATTAAGCGGGATGACACCGGCCTATATTGATGACGTGGTCTATAATATAACAACTTTTACCAAAGACAATTTCCATTGTACACTTTTTGCCAATGGCCAGCTTCTTATCAAGCCTCTTTAACTTTTTAAAATTTTAATTTAAACTTGATTTTAAACCTGTTACCTCCTCATAGACTGTAGCCTACACAGTATGATATATATTAGTTCAACAAAAAATATCAATTTTTGAATTTAAACAATGACGCAATAAACTAAATAAAATAATTGCAATTTTTCCAACCGATTATTATCAAATTTTTTCTACACAATTAAATAAATTTGACTAATCGTAGATATTATGTTAATTAATAAATACAAAAATAACACATTAACTTCATTATTAATATAAAAAGTATGAACTCAGTCTTAACATTTTGAAAGACCTCTTATGATACACATGCCACCAATTCTCTCTTAATATAATGTTTAAAAAAAACGTACCAACTATAGTAGTTATTATTTCATCCCGTATTTGCTTAAATGTCATCTGATGTTCATTCTCGAGCATTATCACAATAAAAGATTTACATGTAACCCTCGAACACTCTTCGTTATGTTCTCTTTGACTGTTTATATTATTTTTCAATTCTGTTTTTTTTCTCTGGACTAAATCTTCGATGAAATTGTAAATTTTGTTTAGGCTAATGTCATGTTTACGTTTATACGTCGACAAATGAAAAAGACTTCTGTTCATAAACCACGGGTGTGTTATTCGGTATACAGTAACCTACAAAAACAAATTTTCATTACAAAGAGCTGACATGCTAGTTCAAAAACATCATTGCATAAGTAGTTTTAAGTTACAAAGAATGACTAGTTATATTGATACCCGGCGTTGCCCGGAAATAAACTGTGATTGTTTAACTCCTTTTGGGTGTAACTCGCTGTGGAAGCAATGTCTTTTTCAGTGTAAATCACCCAAAATAACGTTTAAAATAAAGCGTTATCTAACAAATTCGAAAGTACCAGCGTAGATTGAATGAATTGACATTTCACGGACATAATTTGTAGAAGATAGGAAGTTGTCGCCATTCGAATTGTAAGACATATGAGCGAAGTCATTCCAATGAACAGCTCCATGCGAAGCAATTGTATTTTGTACCTTCTAGCACCTTTCTTGATCCTTAAATAAATGATACGAAATTGATCGAAAAAGGCAGGCACCATCTCCCATGATAGAAACAACTATTTGAGGTGTCAATAGGCCGTTTACAATAATCTCTTCAATCGACATTTTAAAATATTTTTACAAATCTAATTGCCAATAAAAAAAAATCAGCTTTAATTTTTCGTACCCTATTTGTACACTAATTACAGTTTCCCGGTATTGGGTAATGGTGTTTATGGTACTGTAGTAAAAATTTGATTTGAAACAAGTAACTATACATCAAAATGACCACTATTAATATTTCTAGTTGGGCGCAGTTTTTTACGGGGAAAATTTCGCGTTTCCGAATTTCGCATAAAGATTTAGGTTGTAATAATTTAAGTTAGATATGGACACAGTATTAAACAATGGCCACGTGATAGAACAGCTAGAGAAAAGACAATTTTAATTTTATTTTTGCCCATTTCAACCCCTTAAAATTAAAATTATTCAAAATCCTTTCTTATTGCACGCCTAGACTATACTACAAACATACCCTGTATGTTTAAGTTATGCGTAGTCAGTCAGTCAGGACTTCATATTTTATTTATATATCCATGTATACAGATTCGTTTAAATAGCACGCCCGGATTAAGAGGGGCTCTACGAAAATAATTTAAATGATCCATTTGTATGTATTGTGCAACATGGCGACTTTTAAAAAAGTATCGGTAAATTGCATCCGACCTGGTTTACAGTAATGACGTTAAGAAACAATAAAAGTATACCTTTCCGATGAACTTTAAATTCTCCACTAATACGTGTTTGTCGTTTTTCTGTGCATTCAATTTTACACCCAAAGCGGTTCTTCCGATCATCTCTAAAGTCGCCATACCGATTGCAGAGCTTATTTCACATTCATTTGAATTGATTTCCCTTTTTGTGTACAATACTTTGCCCAAGCATTTTGCTTCCTCGTAAAATTTCGGTATGAACGATTTCAGCATCGAAAATTGAAACCCCGAAGCTACCAATTTTCTACAAGTATCGACACAAATTGAAAATTATATTAATTAATAATAGGTAGGTAATTTCGAAAAGGTAACATTGAATAATTGGCGATAAAAACTGATTTCCCAGCATTTTAAATTAAATTATTAATAGTTTCCATTATATTTTTGAATGCGTTATACAAATTGATGCTTTATTATTGTTTTACGAATTTTGATGTCTTGTTTTACTATAGCTGTTCTGATGATAAATAAATACAAGATCACACTAAAAAAATTCACCTGTTATTTTTCCATTCATCAAACACCCTGATTGAAAATAATCCATTGCCCCCATTTGAGTCGTTAGCCATTTTATACAGTTTAGCTTTGTTGAACATATTAGGATTGGTAAAAACCGCTTCTATTTCTTCGGGGTTTCCAGGAAATACGAATAATTGATCTAAAATCCAGGCTTTCTTTAAAG